CGACACTTCGCGCCCCCCCCCGCAACCCTCCAAAGTGGCAACAATTTCGCGGATCGCAGACCCCCAGGGGCGGCGATGTTTAATCTGGACCCGCGCATGGCGTCACTGTGCGCCCCCCTGCAGCAGCGCTCGACAAGTGGCGACAGTTTCGCAGATCGCAGCCCCCCCCCGGGGATGGCGAGGTCGAATTTGATTCCGCGTATAGCGTCACTGTGCTGCCCCACCCGCCCCCGCCAGCAGTGATCGAAAGTGACGCGGTGACAGCTTCGCACATGACAGCCCCCCCAGGGATGGCGAGGTCGAGTACGATTCCGCGCATGGCGCCGCCGTGGTGCCCTCCCCCAGCACCCCCGAAACTGGCGACAGCTCTGCAGATCGCAGCCCCCGAAGGGTGGCGATTCAACCCGAGTCCGCGCAGGGCGACACAGCGTTGCCACCCCCCGCAGCCCTCGAGCGTGGCGACCGTGTCGCAAATCGCAGCCCCCCAGGGGGGGGGAGAAGGGCGGGAGGGAGGGGGAAGGAGGGCGCGACGAGAACCCACTATCGGCGGGCTGGGGAAGGGCAGCCCCAATTGAGCGCGTCTCTTCTCGACCTTGGCCCAGGGGCAGGCATTACACGTATTCGCCCGGGAGCCTCTTCGAAGCATAGATCATCGGCGCACTTGAATACACGTATTGCTCCCCCCTGGGCTATTCGCCTTGGTCGTCGTTTCTGATAGGAGCTCTTTTGGGATTTTATTGGGGGCGCTATTGGGCACCAGCTTGAGGCGTCCATCTTGAGACTCGCTTAGGCGACCTTGCAGTCATCGTAAAACTCGAGAAACGCAGAATGGCTGTAACAAGTTCAGTGGTTGCAGGATGTTCGCGCCTCTGGGATATCCTGGGGAGTTTTGGTTTGTTGGTTTCTATGGCCGTGTGCATCCGTCTTGCGGCAGGACAAAGAGGCTTAGTGGATGCATGATGGATGCCTGCTTGCGCCAGTAGATGATGCAATAGTGGATGCAATCTTGGTATGTCTCGGGCTTTGCCGCTGTAGCCCTTCACGCCAGTATCCAGGCCGAGGGATTTGTCTAACACGGAGGGCAGACTCCTCCGACTCCCTGCGGGCGACAGCACATGCGTGCCTTCGGCTCAAAGGCAGGACCAGACATGACATGACAAGACCAGACGGCACAGGATAAGACATGACAGGACGAGAGAAAAGACGAGACACGACAGCCTCCCAGATGCCCTCAAGAAGCTCCAATACGGCCCGAAGACTGCTTCGGTTGCCTCCAAGACGCCACCGGATGGCCGCTGGCGGACCCACACGACGCTCCCGGGCAAAAGACGCTGATTCCCAGCAAGGCTGTCGCATAATTTTGCCATAATCGTATTCTCGGTTTCCAGGCTGTCCCAAACGGCCCTCGAGGTCTCCAAGATCGCCCCTGGACGGCCCAATGGGGCCCCGAGACGGCCCCTGCGAGCCCCCAGATGGCCGTAGCGGCCTTGACTTGAGGCGGCTCCGAGCTCCCCCAAGATATCCCAACAAGCTCCCAGAGGGTTTCCAAATCGTGAAAAAGTAGTCGTAGGCAACCGTGGGTGGCACAAAGATAACTCCAAAGGCCCCCACGACGCCCCCGGGACGCCCTGGAGAGGGAAGGCTTTCTGGCATGGGCAGAGGGAGGGGTAAATTCCTCCCCGATGGAGAAAGTGGGCATTGTAGAGGAAGCGATCTCAACAATCTGCGCTTAGAGGGCTGGTGAGATTCAACAGAACGTGGCCCAACCTTTCGCGATGCTTTCTCTCGTTGTAATTGTGTGTTCCCCACCGCCATGAATTCTTAGCACAGTGTGTATGGGTTAGCAACAGCACCATTGACATGGAGCATTGCATCATCTTTGCATGTAGCTAAGCACCTAGTCAGCATTTGAGACGCATTAGTTGTGATGTTGACGCATCTGTTGAATTAGTAACATGTATCAGTGTCGGCCACTCGGCGCGTTGTGGAATAGACGTCGGCTCCCGTCATGTGTATTATGGTTGCCGCCTTGCCTAGCTCAAACCTCTTGCTGAGGAGCGCTAGGCCCCTTGTGCCCGCGCTCCCCTGGACAAATTTTGGATCATATCCTGGACCCGCATTCGCTGGCGAACCCTCCACTCGTCGGGATATGAGTGTTGTGTGCTTGCAATTCCTTTGGTGTATCTTTCATGAGCGCGTTGCGTGAGTTGGTGCCACGTGTTTTCAATGCGTTTCGATATATCTGAGTTCGTATCAGCATGTCATTGTTGCAAAATAATTGGAACAAGTGCTTTCTGGAACATTGTCGAGCGGCGAGGCACGATACTGTTCCATGAATTTCAGACGTGCCCACATCGACTCACACCCAAGCTTGGTATTCGATGGCGTGGCGAGCATGTGAAACGAACGTGTGCAACACGTACTTGAAAGGCGCTTGCCGTTGGGCGCCAGGTGATCCGGAATCTCTTCGACCTGAGCGTGTTGCGCTCGCGTGTTTACCATGGCGCTCACGATGAAGCGTCCGTACGCGTGTCCTGTTTGCCGGGATGGGTTGGCAGGGGTGATTGAGAGTGCAGGCATAAGGGAATGCGGTAAATGCGGGGGTCACCGCGGAAATGGAGATCCGTTCAGGGAGCACCAGCCACGATATTTGCAGCAACGGTAAAGCACGGGTTTGGTTTGTTCCGGTACATCAGGCACAGCATGGTTTGCAGTTACCCACAACTACGAAGCCCATGAGAATCTGCCGAAATAGTCAGGACGCAAGGCTCACAGAAGTTGCCAGCGAGATATTCCCCCGCCACTGTGGTGTACAGACGGGGAGTGGAGGAGTCTTTCTTGAAGTGGGGGCCTTGCCTGTGCCGCGCTCAGTGGAACTCCGATCCCCCCTTAACTTCATCAGTCTCCACGTTCTGCCCCTGCCCCTCCCTCTCCCTCTCCTGCGTGTGCTCATATTTCTGCCTCGTCCTCTTTCGCCGTATCCTCCTTTCTCCATCTGTCGCTTGCTTTCCTGTTCCTCCTCTTCTTCTCCCTCCCGCTCTGCGTCCTTTCCTCTGCCCTCAGTATCTTTCCCCTCTCCCTCCTCCTGTCCCTCCTTCTCCCGCTCCACCCCGTGCATCGGATTCCCAAGTCGTGCTGCTCGCCAACGGACGGTCGATTCCGATCCCGATCACGGAATATGAGCTTTGCTGGTTTGGAGTTCTCTATGAGTTGAGCCCTTATCTTGTTGTCTGGGGGAGTGTGAGAGGAGGAAGAGGACAGAGGATGAATAAGGAGGAAGGAAAAGGAGGAGGAGGAGGAAGAACGAGGAGGAAGAGGTGGAGGAGGATAAGCAGGAAGTGCTGTATTTAGAGGAAGAAGACTTGCGCTCGGCTATGATGGTCCCTGCATGTGCTGCCCTGCTACCCTCAGCAAGCGGGTCTGGCGTCGGTAGAGACCTGTCGCGCGAGGCCGGTTGCGAGGCGCACTGATCCTGCATAGACTTCGATGCAGTAGTCGAAGCAGAACACAGGCTATAAGTATAAACTTTTGGCGCTCCGCGCGGATTTCTTGGACCCGCGCTTGGCCCCCTGGCAGCGCGGGTCCAGCGCAGATCCAAGAAATCCGCGCGGAGCTCCAAAGCTTGTGTTTATGATAATTTTCGTCTTCTGAGTAGGCCCTCCGGCGCTGGGGCGGTGTCAACGACCCCGCAAGAGCGCCGGGCATCGCGTCCGCGGCCAAGACCGCCCGGGCCCGCGCCCGCGCCGGGAGCTTCGCCTGCTCTCGCGGGAGCCCCTCTACAGGAGGAAGATTCAAAGATAGCCAAACAAAATGGTATGGTGACAATGTTTTGGCTAGCATTGACTATGTTTCGACATGTTCAAACTATGTTTTATGTTTTCTTTCCGAAGCCCGCCTGTGGGAGGACATGCCCGACCTGATCGCAGCGCCGCCCCGAGGAGTCGGCGCTCCCGCGCCCCTGCTGCCGGACCTCCAGCGGGGACCTCGCGGTGTCCCGCTCGTCGGAAGGGCCGCCGTGGCGCCTCCGGTAAGGCACGCGCACGTACACTCCACCCCGCATTTGGGCTGCACGGGACGTGGGGGGTCGCCAGAGCCAGCGCACCGAGCAGCTGCAGCGAGCCTCGCTGCCTCCACGAGGGCCTGCCCGACGAGCAACCCCCGCGGGCGGCCCATCGGCGGGCCCTCGTTCGCTGGCGGTGTCGTCGAGGTCTGGTGCCGCTCCTCGGGGATGGAGTCTAGTCGGGCATGTCCCTCCACAGGAGGAATATTCAAGAATAATTCAAAAATACTCTGGTGACGATTGTTCGTGCTTTTGGTTGACTAGTTTCGATTCTGTCTTTTGGGGCTACTCTTATCGTTTCCCGGAGATGCTCCTCCAGGAGGACATGCCCGACCTAAGGATGGAGGTTGGTGGCTGCAAGCCTCGATGTCGGCGGGGCCAGTGCACTCACCCCGCTCGGCCTTGGAACCTGGGCACCAGCGGCAGGCGGCTCACCCGCGGGACGGCTGGTGGGCGGGCTCCCGCGAGGTGGGGGGGGGCACACCCGAAGGGGTCCACGCTGAGCAGGCCACGGCGCGGCAACTCGTCCCAGAGCCCTCCCTGGGCCGACGACTCCAACGACCACCCCTGCCCCCGGCGACCCTGGCGACCACCCGCAGGTCCGCGTGCGCCGCTGGGTTCGGGGCAGGCGGCCCGCCTCTCCCGGCCCCCCGCCCAGCCCGTCTGCTTAGGCCAGGGCTGGACCTAAACGCTGTTTTGCTGAACTACGGCTGTGTTTTGTTTTTCGTTTTGGCAGGGAGCTACAGGAAACAAGGTAGAGCAAAACGAACAACAAAACGAGCACAAAACGAAAAACATCGCTTAGGTCCAGCCCTGGCGTAGGCTGATGCATCCTATGCTCCCACCGTGCGTTCTCGCGCGCTCCGCGCGCCCGGGAGGGGGACGTCTGCCAGCTGGCCCGCCCGCTTACCCCCTCCCGCCGGCCCTGGGCTCCCGCCTGCGCGATCGTCGCGGTTTGCGAGCCTCTCTCTTCTCCTCTCCCCCAAAAATCGCCGAGCAGCGAAGGCTGCCGGGAGCAGGCGGCGCGCGCGTGCCGGGCTTTGCGTAACTGGGGGGGGGGGGGGGGGAACAAGGTGCACCGCTTGTGCCGTAAAGGGGCCGCCGCCTGGGAGCGAAAAGGGGCACGAAAGGCACGCGGATGTCCCGCGGTGGCGCGGAGATAGGTCCAGGATGGGTCCAGGATGTCCCGCGGTGGCGCGTCGTTGCGCTGCCCCCAAGATCCTGACCCCTCGGACGTCCCTAGAGGCCTCCAAAGGCCTTTGGGGGTCAGAAGAACACACCAGAAGACATCACATTCTTGGTCTTCGATCGCCGAGGGCAAGAGGAGGGGGGAGAGGAGGAGGAAGGGGGAGGAGAAGGGTAAGAGGAGGAGGCAGCGGAGGCGAGACGCTCCGAGGGAGGAGGTACGTCCGGATCTCGGCTCGGAGTGGATCGGGCGCGCCCTCCGGATGATCCGAGGAGCCACGTGCGAGGGAGCGCCCCGTGCCGCGACACTTTGGGCGACAAGCTCCAGGACCTGGACGCCGTCCAGGAGACTCGCTGGAGGAGGAGGGGGAGGAGGAGGAGGAGGAGGAGGAGGAGGAGGAGGAGGAGGAGGAGGAGGACTGGCGCACTCCAGAGACACAGACATGGACAAGAATCTCCATACGCCTCGAGGAGAAGGAAGAGGGGGAGGAGGAGGACCACTGTAAACTCAAGATTCATGAACAATGTTGGAAAACGCCATGAGTCGACCTGCCTGTTGCGTCATGACGATCCTGAATCGTGCCAGGACACCATTCCCTGGACGTCAACACTGCGAATCAACGCGCATGTTGTGCCCTGACAACCCTGAATCGCTCCATGACACAAATTCTGGCACGTCAACCATGAGAACCAGTGAAGCGCTGGCAGTTCTTTAGACGAATGCGCGCGGCGCTAAGGCGAGAACCACATTTTGAAAATGGCCCGCCTTCAATCCGTGAAGCTCTGGTAAATTGTTGAAGCAAATGTGCACGGCGCTCATGCGATAGCCACATTTTTAAAACAACCCGCCCTCCATCTGTGAAACTGTTGCCAATGTTTAGGCTTCGCATTGATACATGATGAGGAAGTCTCAGGCGAAACGCCCGGCCCGCCCTTTCGACCAGGTTCGGGGTGGGACCAGGAGGATCCATTCATAAGGGAATGTAATGGAGACATATTCCAGGCGTCCTTCGGAAGACACTTCGTCGTCGGAGGTGGAGGAGAAGGAGCAAGAGGAGGAGGAAGACCCCTCCTCACATTCAAGGGAGAATAATCATGATTGTATCCACTGTAATCGTCGCAGGGGCCAAGACGACAGGCAGAATAAGGAGGAGGAGGAGGAGGAGCAGGAGGAGGAGGAGCAGGAGGAGGAGGAGGAGGAGTGGGACAGGAAGATACTAATTCGCTGCCTGGGCGCACATTGAACGGGATGGCCGGCCATTTTTGCCAGAATTCTGGCATGCGAGCGAAGTGGTCCTCGCACGCATTGCCTGAGTGACACCGGCATGGAGACCCTCAACACCGGCACTGCATGCGAAGACACATGGCGTCTGGAAGCTTGGCTCGAAGAAGAAAAAACGCCATAAACATAAACTGTTGGCGCTCCGCGAGGATTTCTTGGATCCGCGCCCCCCCGTCGGCGCCTCCAGCGCCGCCCCTGGCGCGCTCCGCGCGCCAGAGAGGGGGGTCCGGCTCAGATCCAAGAAGTCCACGCGGGGCGCCAGAAGTTGTATGCATACGGCGTTGTTTCTCCTTCTGAAGGCGCGTTCCCTGCACGCGAGCACGACGCGGCGCGCGCGCGCGCGTCACGGCACGCGGGCACGGCACCGCGCGGCGCAGCGACTGCTTCGCGCACCCTGGGTCCGGGCGCTCTTCGGGCGCACGGCACGGCACGCGGGCGGCACATTTTCTGGGCCTCGAGCGTGTCAATTTCGCTCTCGTTGAGGTCGGGCAGGCCCCATCTACAGAAGGAATGCTCAAAGATAGTCAAAAACATAGGCTGAGGACGATTGTCCTACATGTGTTTGACTATGTCTGAGCACTGGTGCCCATTTTTGAGTTTTCCTCCAGAATCCGCCTGTAGGGGGACATCATGCCCGACCTAAGCTTTGGTCCTTGGTTGTGCATTTCTTCCCGCATTCACTCGCTCAAACTGGCATGCAGCCCACTTTGCGGATTTGTTGGGGATCCGGTTGCATCGGACAATCCTCGCGGACACAAAGAAGCACGCAACCGAAAATTGCCTCCCAGCGACGGCAGGTCGCGGTGTAGCGTTGTCGCGGACAAGTTGTTGCATTTTCACACATGACCAGGCATTCGTGGCCAGGTACTCCGTGCAGCACGACTACCATTGAGGATGTGAAGCAAGTCTGGAGGGGAAAGTCGGTGGAGGGAAAAGGACACAAGAACGCCGACGAGGAGGAAGAGGGAGGGTCGCGGCGCGGTGGCGACAGCTGTGCGCCTGGCAGCGCCCGGGGAGGGCGAGGGAGAGAAGGCAAGGGAGGGGAAACCACCCCGACCACCGCGATTGGCGTCTGCGAAACAGCCCTGCCCTCTTCGATTCCTGCCGCGGGTGCGTCCACTGGACGGTCTCGCTCGGCGGGGTGCTCACTAAGGAGGCGGCTCCTGTGCTGTCTGGTGAGGCTGGGAGGAGGCGAGGAGGAAGCGAGGGGAAGAGGAGATGAGGAGAGGACGAGAGTCAGGAGGGAAAGGAGCACACAGGCACAATCAGTCGTCGACCCCCAGGAGAATGTGGGAAGCTATGGGAAGTGGGGGGAAGACGAAAACCCCAGAAACATATGGAAAATAGAGGGAATCCTGGGATGTGTGTGTGTGTGTGTCTCTATTTGTGTCCCTGGGCCCCAGTCAGAGAGCAGCGGCAGGGCTCAGCAAGAGCGACTGCTCCGCGCGGGGAGGGCCAGGGCAGCTCCTCCCCAGGAGGCGTGCCGCTCCGCCGCGGGCGCCGCCCCCGACGGCAGAAGCCCGGGCCCCGCTGGCGTGGCGACGGCCCCCTCGTCGTTGGCCGATGTCGCCGTCGTCGCCGTCGTCGTCGTCGGTCGCTGGTCGTCGCTGTCGTCGGTCGTCGTCGACGTCCGGAGTCCATCGTCGGTCGCTGTCGTCGTCAACGTCAACGTCCGTCGTCGGTCGTCGTCGTCGTCGTCGTCAACGTCCGCCGTCGGTCGTCGTCGTCGTCGTCGTCGGCGGGCGTCGGCGGTGTCGTCGTCGTGTTCCGTAACCGCCGGCATCGTAGTGGGCGTTGTCGTAGTCGAAATTTGCCACTCGGCCACTGCTGCAGGATGGCTACGTTTCCCAACCCTCCCGTGCAGTGGGGCTCCCGTTTTGAATCCGCAGTACCGCACATCCACTTCTTATCATCCTTCCACATACTTGAACCGCACGCGCGCTTCGCGCGCTTAGGTTCTAGCAAGAGTTCAGGTTGTAGTCTAAAGTGTTCGGCGTCGGAGGACATATAATGTCACACGGATCGTGTCCCTCATGGGAGCTCCACCGACAGCTTCAGCGTCCCTCCCCGCCCATGCCAGCACACCCCTCAAAGGGATCTTGCCCCACTCTCCTCGTCCTCCTTCGGGGACACTCGGCCTCTAGCTACTCCTCCGTCTCTGCTTGCTCCACCTCCACCATCCCTCATGGTCGTGTTGCTGCTGCCGCTGCAGTTGCCCCCGCATGCCTCTTACACGGGTCGTGCCGTGTTGGCACACCATTCCCACAGAAACAGCTCTATAGGGAGCCCCATGTATGGTTTGAGCGGGCAACCTCGCGCGTCCCCCTCGCCAAGCCCAGCACACCCCTCACACGGATCGTGCCCCACAGGGAGCTCCAACTACGGCTTCATTGGGCCAGGTTGCACGCGTTCTTTCTCTCAACTTGGCACACCCCTGAGAGATCATGCCACACCGCGAGCTCCACCTATAGCCTCGGTGGGCCAGTTCGCGTGTACCCCCTCGCCCGCTCTTGGTACAAGAGAGCTTCCATTACGGCTTGATCTGGGCAGCTCACATGCTTCCGCTGGCGCATGTCAGCGCAACCCTCACACGGATCGTGCCCCGCAGGAAGTTTTCTTTTGTTGCGCAGCGTTGTTCGTTCTAGGCTCCAGACCTCGGAGCCTTCTATTTTCGTCTTTGGTTCGTGAGTCGTCCGACCCCCTGGCGCCCCCCCCACTTCTCGTCCTTCCATTGTTTCTGCCCCATTATTGTCTTCCCCATTCTCCTGGACATCCTCTTCCTCCACCCCTGTCACACCACCAAATGAGTCCGTAGGCTGGTCTGGGCGTTTACCTTCAGCCTTCCTTACAATTAACAATGTACGATCGCGACGCTCAAATACTCAACCGAAAAATGCTGGGATTGAGGACCGGTCGTTTTCAAAATCTCGTTCTCGTCGTAGCGCCGCGCACATTCGTCTTACAGGCTTCGATATTAGCTTCCCAGACGGAGGACCGGCCGTTTTCAAAGTTTATTTCCGCATTTGCTCGTACACATGTACTTTCCGAGCTTCGGCAAGTTTTGCCGATGGATGGCTGTTAGTTCTCAACATGCGGCTCTCGTTCTAGCGCCGCGCACTCTCGCTTTCAAGTTCTCAGAAGCTACACTCATGGAGGCCGGCACCCGCTGGATATTTCCCCATCAGAGATCACAGCAAGCAGTGCTCACTTGTGGTGCAGTTACACGGGCGCATGGCGTATTTGTTCAAAGTGTAGTTCTCGCCTGGCAGTTTGCTTCACCGCACGACCAACAGTGCGGAGCGTTGTGCAACAGCTGCAAGGATGAAGGGCGGCTCCTTTAGCGGGGTTGTCGTTGGGTTTTCTTTTGAATTTTAAAAGTCGCAGGCCTGGAGGTTGATACCAACACCAATATTGGCGGTGTGCTTCCACCGAGGGATGGCGATCCCGATCTCGGTGATGGCGGTAATATGTGGGCTTCTTAGGTGGCCGACAGATTGCCACCAACACCGAAATCTAGGATCAGTTTCCCCCTGTGGAGGCAACGCCTTGTGTTGGTGTTGGTGCCCATGTCCAGGCCTCCAACAAAGCCCACTTTGTAGAAGTTCTTTCTGCTCGGAGGAGGGAGGGCGGTCCCCTTCAAAACGGAATTCCCGCCCGAGTTGCGGGCCCACGGGGCGATCGTCCTTCAAGGAAACTCGTTTCGCGCAGTGGGAGAAGGCGCCTGCTGGGACGAACGAGGATGGGACTTGGGACGGGCGGGTGTTCTGCGGGTGCACTGGACTTGGGACGGGCGTTTGCCCTGGCCACCCTCCTCACCCTCCTCACCCTCCTCCTCCGCCTCTGCCTCCCCCAAAACAAATCTGTTTCAAATCAGCGGGACATCCGGAAACCATTCCTTTAGGTCTTCTTACACTCCCCCCGACCTCTCCAACTCCTCCTCCACCTTTCCCGTTCTTTCCCACGCCTCTTGTCAGTTCTTACGCGTTTTCCACAGTGAAAGAGGCCTTCGGTCACAAACGATGTCGCTGAAGGGGATCGTCCGTGGTCCTGTCCTTTGCTCGAGAAGGCCCGCCTGGGCCGACGTTGCGGCAACACGATCGTCCCTCAGGACTCATTTTGTCTACGCCGTCCTGCGGGACCTCATCTCTTACAGTGCTCCGAGTCCGGGGCCCACGTGCCATTGTCATTTTCAGGTTGCTTATTGTGAAACTGGAGGCGACATTGGCTGCCAGCATGTTGAGCGGATCTGTTCTCGTCAACTGGAGGCACTGCAGAATCAGTTATCACGAGCTGGTCTCTTGTGTGTGAGCATCGCGTTCAGATTCTTTCTCATCGCCTTCGTGATTCGCTGGATCATCAGACGGTGAGGTCGTCCTTCAGCTGGGCAGCAGCCATGTGTGGTCCAGGAGCCGTCAGCACACGTTCGAGCACGCAGTGGTCCACTTACGCCCTCATTTCTTCGATTCCCTGACGCATCATGAGCGCTCTTGATATCAAAGAGCGGCAAGTCTTCGTTTCGATACGATGAGGATCCGAATTTCATTTGGCACCACCGAATCCTTCTGGTGCGCGTCACAGGAGGACGATGGGTTGTTCTCACACCGACAGGCGACCTCCAAATCTTGGACACTTCCGCGGTCGGGTTCGAGTTTCTCGTGAGAGGGAGGCCAGTGCCTGAGAGGTGCCGCAATGATTGTTTCCTCTTCGACCCCATCCCAGTGCGGGAGCTCAGTGAGGCGCCTGTTCGGACTCGGGCCCTGGCGGACATCGCGAGGGAGGACATCGAGGTGGGCGCGGAGGAGGTCTGGGTGGTAAGCGACACCACGGATCCGAGGTTCGGCAAGCGCGTTGAGCCCGGCGTGCTGGACGACCCGGGCCGCTCTCTGCCTCGGGAGACCAAGGGCGTTGTCTCTTCGCCATGGCCGACTCAACCTCAGAGGTTCACGTCGAGAGGGTCAACAGTGCCGACCTGGAGCCCTGGAAGACTCGTCGTGGCGGGGGGGCCTTTTTTCCATCGGAGACTTCCAGGTCGGCTGGTGGCCGACGATATATGCGCGCAAAGGAGGTGACTGAGAAGCTGGAGGAAACCAGCTTCGAGGACTACCCTTTCCCGGATCCCAGGGCGACCAAGGAATGCGTGGTCGGGCTTCGAGATGCCGCCGATGGCTCGTTCGACGCGCATCATCAGAACTGGTGCTCGGCCTCGGGGGTGCCATCCAATGGTGGCATCGCGCGCGATCATAGGATAGCTCTTAAGGCTCTGCGCTTGGGAGCAGATCGACTGGGCAAACTCGGCCATGGCGGAGTAGTTGGCCAGGGGGCTCATCCAGCGCGAACGCGCGGTTGAGAAGACGCGCTGACGGGCGCGACGGAGGACGATGGCAGAGCTGCGGCGCCGGCTCGCGAAGTGGATCGCCGAGAAGCAGCATCAGCGAGCCTTCGCCCGCGAGCAGACCCGCCTGCTTCGCGAGGAGAGGGCGGCCGAGGACAAGAGGCGGAGCGGCCCCAATGGACCCGGGGATGCGAAGGGCGGCGGCCGCGGGGCCGCCGCCCCTCGTCGGGCCGGGCGGGGGCGCGTGCCTGGGCGTCACCCGCGGGCGATCGCCCGTCTGCGCAGGCAGGGGCTTCCGGTCAGTCGCCCCGGGCTCCGATTTTTGCGCGCCGTGGTCTCCGTGAACGCCGTCGACGACGGCGCAATTATCCTATCCCTCTGCTAGTTCATCTTGCCGAGGGCCTCTCCCCGGGGCCCGGGCAGCGGTGGCGCAATCTTCGCGGGTTGGCAGGGCGTCGAGGCCGGCGTCTCCCGGGGTCCGTCCGTTCGTTGAATGTTCTGCATCGCGCTGGAGCATGCCCGTGCGATCGTCGTCTCCGCTCAGGCAGCTTGGGCAGTCTTTCGAGTTCGCAGGTGTCGACCATTGATTCGCTGGATGACCGCATCTCACTTCGCGGCGATCGCCCGGAAGGCCCCGCCCCGCTCGACGCGCGCAACGTCGCGTACAGAGCGAAAGACTTGCAGGCGCAGGGGCCGCAGCATGCGGGCCCCGTACCTTTGGGACAAGTTGAAGGTTACTTACCAAGGGCGTCTCCACTCCTCCCCCGCTGGAACCCGCCCCCCTGCCCGACGTGCATCGACAGACATTGGCTTTCAAGAAACACGTCTTGAGGAGCGATACTGAGCTGGGGGTGGATCGTCTGTCTGGCGCGCCCGGCACCCCGCGCTGGCGCGAAGACTTGCGGCGCTCGAAGAAGTGCCGACGCGAGCTCTTCGCCACCTTGCAAACGAACCATCTGCCCACCTTCAGGCGCCGAATCTCCCCCAGGGTCGCCATCTTCTTCGCGTGGACGAAGGCCGGGGTGATTCGTCTCGTCGTCGACGCTCGCGCCACTCACGAGAAGTGCAAGACCCCCCTCGCGCCGACCTGGGCACCGTCGCTGCCTTGGCCGATGTCGACCTCAGCTTGGCGGAGCTCTCCGAGACTGCAGATGCCGAGTTGAGTGCCGAGGAGGAGCAGCATTTCTTCAAGGGCCAAGGCGGCCCGGCATC